GCAAGGGAATCCTCGAACCTCCTTCAAGGGCTGGAAAACGAAGGCCTTCAAAGACTGGGAACGGCACTGCGCCTACATCCAGCATGGCCAAAGTCACTGACATCAGGGCTGAAAAAGGAGCGGCAGGCTCAGCAGCAGCCGAAGTAGAAGCGGCCATGGAGTAGATCACCAGTTTCTGCCACTCCACCAGCTGCCCCAGCCACCAGGAGCCATCTGCCCAACCACCATCCGCAGCGTAGCTGTCCGCCTGGTGAGAACTGCTCTGCCGCCGGGGCCGAAGCTGAATTGGAAGTAGTTGGCTCTGTGGCCGTATCCAAAGCTGGCTCCGGGTGGGAGGAAGCTGCCTCAGGGCCAAAGCCAGCAGCTGCGCCAGCCGACGACGAGGAGCGTCGTTTGCGCTGCGGCACAAGTGCTCTGTGTGCCACGAAGAGCTGCGTTGTTGGAACGTTCTCACACAGTGCGCTTGACTACAGTCGCTACACGCGACTCTGCAAGCCCAAAGCTGAATGAGTTGCAGGTTGCCAACCAAAGGCAATGGCTCACCCGCGAGGGTTCGCCAGTCCTCCGCCCTGTCTGGCACAGGGCCTCCTGGCTGGGCCCAGCGCTGTCGCCCGAAGCGCTGGAGCACTCTGCGGCTCTGCGGCCAAAGTTGAAGGGCCGGGCTCTCCCTGACCAAGTTGCGAGGCGCTCCAACCTGCCCAAGGGTCAGCATCATCCGCAGGGCCAAAGCTCGCAGGCGGCGCTGAGCCATCCAAAGCGGACGGGTCCGAGGCCTGCAGCCCCGGCGGCTGATCATCAAAGCCGCTTCCATAGCCTCCAGGGTATTCACGGCATCCAAAGCATGGAGCAGGAGGAACCTCAGCACCCAAGTTGGAAGCCGAGGAGGATGCCGCATTGGCGGAGGAAGCTTCCACTTCAGCCCTCTCCAGCAGCTTGTTAAGCAAAAGCTGAAGCTTATATCCGCCTGCCTGGTTGGCACAGTTTGAGCCAGCTCGTGAAGAACTGTGTCACTGACCACAGTCAAGTTGTTGAGGCTGCGTGCCAAAGTGTCCTGAACTTTGGAGGGGAGCGGCATAGCTGCAGAGGCGCAAGCGAAGCAGATACAAAGCTGAGGGGGCCAAAGCGAGCTGAGGAAAGTGCGTTTTTGCACAAGGTCACAAGCGGTGACTGAAGCACAAGCGGTGCAGCGAGAGGCACCTCTTTGCGGTGCGCCCCTGAAGCAGCAGCAGCCCAAGCGAACCTGGCCAATCAGCAGGCATGTGAAGCAAGCTGACGCAAAATCAGCAAACAAGATGCTTCACCTGAAGTGGCAGCAAGCACGGAGTAGACCCCGCCCAAGATGAGCAAAATTGCTACGGATGTGCATGGCATGATCAAAATGCAAGGACACCGCACGCAAGAGAACAAGACTGCATGCAAGAGGAGTACGTCCTTTTATACAAGCTGAACGGCTTCAGCCCTCCAAAAGCAGCGAGCAGGCTCTACGCTTACAAGTACGCTCCTTAGACCAAGAAGCTAAGGCGGTAACTGAGGCTATGGCCCCACAGGCTGGGAACAGGCGAGCGCTACATGATGCGCTGTGACAAAGCAAGCAGACTTTCGCCGTTCCAGGGTGCCGTACGGCTGCGTGCACTACGCCCGAAGATGCTTTAAGAAACTTGACTGCTGAACAGGCGCTCTCCGAAACAACAGCCTCCAAAGCGGGAGGTGCAGCAGGCGCAGTCTCTTGCCTATCCTCTGACAAGTCGTCAACGTCACTGTCCATCATGCAGGGAGGCTGCTGGACTTTCTCCACAGCTGGAAGGGAGGAGTCTGTGCTCAGACGCCGACTCGATGCTGGGCCGAAGCTGCAGACAGGAGAAGCAAGAAGCTCGGCACCTAGTTCAGCAGCATCTGCATCCCAGTTGAACAAGTCAAGCTGCAAGAAGCGCACGGGGCAAAGACCCCAGGATCACTGGGAAGGGCAGGCTCTTGAAGCAGGTGCTGGCCACCCCTATGTCATGTTGCGGCACAAGCGGGCGAAAACCTCTCTTAAATGCCTGCCACAAAAGCATCTGAGCACGAAGTTGAGGAAAGACATCATCTCGAGAATATAACTGCGCAGACGACTGCCTATGGTGGCCCTGCTTGGCCCGCAGCTCTTCTGGGACACCGACCTGAGCCATCCAGCTAAGAAAAGTGGATTCCATGCTGTGCAATGTGTAGACTGAGGGATCAGCGCAGCCCCAGGAGTGGATTGGGGGGCAAATGCACGAACCCTATGCCAAAGCGAGTTTAAGCAAGTCAGATAGTGCCCAACCCATGTCCGGGACAGTTCACTACCTCCGTAGAAGCCCGCGCATAGGAAGCCAAAGGGGCACCCGGAGCGACTGGTCTTAGTTCTCCAAGAGACGCCTCGAAGGACCTGATTATCAACCACCAAGCTGGACCAGTCTACATGCTGGGAGTCCCCAAACCGCAAGCTGCAATTGCAGCACAGAAGCACTGCCCCAGCAAAGCAAACAAAGTATTCACTCAAGCCGCCCCCCAAAATGGAGCGCTCCATCCAGGCCAAGAACCCGCACGGAAGCGGGACACTCTCTTTTCTTTCCGAAGCACCTGAACCTGCAAAGATGCCAAAGAGAGAGGACCAAAGATTGGGCCATGGGTCGGGTTCAAGGGTCTTAGTAACCCAACGAACAGCTTTAAGCACATTTGAGGGATGGCCTAAGCACCCTTCCCCAGCACGGTGCAAGACAAAGATTGCGTCTGCAGCCAAAGCGTCTGAAAGGGAAAGCACGCTACCCCCTAAGTCCTCCACAGTTTGAAGAAAAAGTAAGGCTGAACGCAAGTAACGTGCTGCCGTGGTGTCGGCGACCTTATGCAGGAGCCTGGCCTGAAAATCAAGCTCGTGAAGCGAACCCTGCAAGCCTGCAAGCACCCTACTCAGAGGCTGAAGAATTGTGCAAAGCTGAAGAAAAAGGCTGAGAACTGCCGAAGAGCGCTCCTGGTGAACTTGTCTGCTGGACACAAAGCCCGTGCTGGACTTGGGCACAGGCGGTTGCAACTCATGCGTTGGTGCCCCAAGACTGTCATCAAGCGGTTTGGTCAAAAAGGAACTAGCAGCCTTAGCCGGGCAACTGGGCACCAAGCTTCCTGAAACCACAGAATGAGAGGGGTACGTGGCCTAAAATGATGCCTGCTTAGGGAGCGGTCTAGGCAAGGGAGCTCCTTTGGGGCGAGCTGGTCACGCAGGCTGCACAGGCAAAAAGGCTGGCAGAGGCTTAGCTGACTTCACTGAAGACGGCAAGCTAGCAACCACTGATGCCGGCAGCCTAGAGTCTGAGCCCGAAGCAGCTGCACCTGAAGGATCCAGCTGAAAAGGTGACCTGAAGCGGGGCTTCACAGGCTGGACACAAACTGGCAACGGCTTTGCGCGTACAAAGCGTGGACCTGAACCTGCCTTCGCATTGGCAACCTGGAAGGGCGAAGCAGAGGCTAAGGCACAGGAACCTTGAGCTGACTCGGTGTCAGAAATAACCAGAGCTGAAGGCTCTGCGTCCAAAGCGTCCAGCAGGCAAGTCTCCTGAGCCGAGGCAGCACGTTTCCGAAAGCGCTTAACTACCGTCACTGGCCCAGAAATATCAGGCGAGAACATGTCAAAGCTCCAAAGCGCAGTGAGCTAGCAAGCAGGTGTGAATGTCACGAGAAGCTGGCAGCAAGTGGGCTACGCCACGAAGTTCAAGGAAGAGAAGTAGTCTTGACCCCTCTCTATATGACTCCAAGACGCCAAAGATTGAGGGGGAATAAGATGATGCAAACAAAATCGCCCGCTGGACGCAAGCTGCGAACAACCCAAGACTGGGTATGAAAGGCCAAAGGCCGCAATCGAAGCACTGCAATTGGCCTGATGATTGGCCTTACACTTCCATCGCTGCTCGGGGAGCTACTATCAAGGCTGGAGGCAGAGCTACTCATTAAGAATGTCCTGCGCATGAGAAGTCCTGTCAACCTAAGCACTGTAAGCAAAGATGAACATAAAAAATCGAAGTACACCCAAGCAGCGTGTCTGTGGAAGTTACAAGCAGCTTGGAGCCCAAGTGCAAGCACACAGGCAAGAAACATACATGAGTACACACATGCAACCCTCCACATGGAGAGGGCTGGGGCCCGGCCCCAAGCAGCACGGTCACTCGCACGCAGGCTGCCCTAGGTCCCGACTAACAGTCACACGGAGGCCGCGCAGAAGGTCAAGTACACATGAACAGCCCCGCCTGCGTGCCTAAGAATCAAGAAGCATATTCCCTTGCAGCCTCCATATGTCTCTCGTCGCTTCTAGGCACAGCGGTGAAGAGCCGCGATCGCTGCTCTGCTGGCAGCGACCGCACAGGAGAGCACAACTCAAGGGAAGGTGGTCAAGGTTCAGGCTTCAGACACTAGGGGCGCACGCCTACATGCCTACACCACAAACTGCATGGAGCCCTTCAGTGGACGACCACTTAAACCTCCCCTCTACGTGTGAAACTGCATGGCACCAAAACGTTTCCTACCACATACCTTGCGGGCAAGCCACTTTCCAAGGACACTGCAAAACACTCCTTACGCCCCAGCCCCGGAGGGGATTGCCGTACCTTTCTTGTTACGAGGCTCTTCTTTCACTCTTGTTCGCCCAATGGCACTGACTAGGTTTTGTGGCTGCCCGGCATGTTTCTATCCTACATTTCTACATAGGCTGAACTCACAGCATGTGCAATGACAAGCAAGCAATGACAGGAAAGGTGTGCCATGCGTGTGTGCAATGATGGCCTTGGCAGCGCCTATTGCCATCCGTTCCTTGGGCCTCGCTTCGCAAGTCCCTGAGCACATGGAACAAAGCTCCGAATTTTGGTCTGGCAGGGTGTGTCCAGGGTCTCGAGCGGCCCACTCCGACACTACCGTTACAGAAAGGTTAGCACAAACCCTATCCTAGACACTAGCCCTGCCCCCCCGCCTCGCTCATTACTATCCCTCACTTGGCCCCCTCAGCTGCTGTCGCTGGCAGTCATCTCGGCGTGGTCGTCGCTCTCCCCTTGCATCTGTTCTTCGTCATACTCCTGTCGTGCCTGCTCCACCAGTGCTTCTTCCTCAAGGTCGGCCAGCAGGTCGCCCATGCGTTCTTCCTCCGCCTGGGCCTCTGTGTATTCCTGTAGCCATCCTCGCTCATAGCTGTCTGGGTCTCTGCGCGCGCCGTCGAGGTTGACCCCGGGTTCTGGCTTGCTCCGCTTGCGGTTGTCCTCCTTGTCCACGCTGCATCCCGGGCTTTTGCGCACGGTAAGGCTGTGTTTCCACGCGGCAGCCACTGTTTTGAGTCGTCCTTGGCTCGGATCCTTTCCTCCTATTCCTCCTCCGCTGCCACCCGTCTTCTCGCCCCTGTCTGGTGCTGGACATGTCGGGCGCCTGCGCGGTCCCCTCCGCCTGCAACTGCTCCTGCTGCTCCTAGCTCTCTCTCCATCTGCGCTCTTCTTGTCTTGAACTTGCGATGTGGCACCTTGCCCTGCCTCCTTCTGGGGCTTGTCTGCACCCCCACCTCGAGATCTCGCGATCCCGCTGGGCCTGGCTCTGTCTCCGCTTCTTGTCGTCGACCTGCGACGGTATCGTCGACAACTGCCGCCTCAGTCTTCGTCCAGCTTCGCATGTCGTCCTGGTCCTGGCCTTGGTCGGTCTCCGCTTCCTGCACTGGCTCCTGCGCTTGCTCACAGCTTCTCTCCCTGAGTGCTATGCGTAGTCTGAGCAGGCTCGGCGGCGGGCCCAAGCTGTCCACATCATTGTACGTCATGGCGAGAGCTGCGGCCACTTTCTGGACGGTCTCTGCCGGCACGGCCTCGAGGATCGTCTCGAGCTCCACCCACGTCTGCTGAGCGCTCTGGGTCTCTCTGTTCTCACTGGACACCCAGGGTTCGCCACTGGGTTCCTCTTCATTGCTCACCCTTGCCCACGCTTTGCGAAGCGTGATTTGTCTTCGATCTTGCTCTCCTGGGTTTGGGCGCTCTGGCTGCCTTAATGGCCTGGAGTGCTTCTTTGCGCGCCGGCTGGTGCGCCACGCTGGCCAGTAGTTTCAAGGCTTCCTGGACGATCCCAATATCGCTCTCGTCCCGCCAGCTCTGGAAGAGGACCTTCTCAGCTTCGGACTGCTCCTTTGTCGGGATGCTTTGCTCCAAGTTCCTTGCTGTGCGTTGAGCATGGCCTGGATCCTCGTGGGGCTTGCCCGGCAGAGCCAGTACTTCCGCGAGCACGGTCGGGACCAGGTTTGAGGGCGATGTCCACAGCAATCTCACCAGACCCGGTCGGAGGGTGCCAACGCTGATCTCCTCGTTGTCGGAGGATTCTGCACTTCCGTTGGAGCATCCATCTGGCGGCCGGGCCCCCAGCTGTGCCAGGAGCAGCAATGTTGCTTCCGGGTGTGGTTGCAACTCCAGTTGGCGGCGCAGGAAATGCTCGAGGTCAGCGCGGACAGCTTGACTAAGCGGCCCCCACACGAGGGGTCATCTCCGGAGGCAGGTCCCGCCCCCCATCTGCATCATGGCCACTTCGTCTCCTTGCTGTTCCCTGCCTCTGCTCTTCCTTGCCGTCGTGGTCTTCTGGAACAAGGCCGAGTGCCCTGCTTCACCCCCCATCTGCGCCACTGCATCTCCTTGCTGTTCCTTGCCTCTGCTCATCCTTGCCGTCGTGGTCTTCTGGAACAAGGCCGCGTGCTCTGCTTCATCGACCGGGACCTCAACCTCTTCCTCATCACTTTCCGGATGTATTCTCCCTTCCTCGCGGTTCCAGGGACTCCACCCGGTCTAGGACCATTTGTTGAAGGCCCTGGCTCACGAGCTGCAAGGCAGCATGCATCCCCAGAAGCGTGAGTGTAATCTCCCTGTGATCAAATTGCGCAAGGATTCCCTGCACCCTCTCGCTCAGGCGGGCCGCCATCTGGATCTGCATTCGCCGCTTGCTGGGCCAGCTCATGCCCGCGTCCACTGCTTCCAACACCCGCAGCCACAGGACTTGGTGCTCCGGGACGCTTTGCGGCTGGAGTTGTTCCAATCCCAACGGATCGTGGCAGAAGCTGCCATCCTGTCGCCGCATGTTGTGGGACGAGCGGCTGCGCTCTCTGTCTGAGGCGTTGGTCCCCCTTGTCGCCGCCTCCCCGGAGCCTGCCGCCCTTTCCCCAGACTCATGTGCTGATGGCTCTCCACCAGCTTCAGCCTCTCGCCCTCTCTGGGGTGTGATGGGACGGGCTACCACTGGTCTCTCCCCTGCTCTTCCGTCTCCATGGTGCTGTCTGCATCAGAATCAGCGCCACTTGTTCTGCATCATGTCGTTGAAGCGGGCGCTGCTCTAGCCTCCTTGTCTGAGTAGCTGGAGCGTCGGCCGCCCCTAGCCACAAGCCGCTGAGGAGCAAGATCACCCACGCCCCACGGCTCCGGACGCCGCACATGAGTCAGGTGTCACCCTTGCACAACCCTTGGTTGACGCGAGGGATCCTATCTGGCTCTACACAGTAGCCGACAGCAAAGTAGGCACAAAACGGGACATGTCCTGGCACTGTTCTGCTGTATTCGTGTCGCCACAACCCGTGTCATGCTCATGCTTGATGTGGGTTGCCTTGCGTGTTCAATCTGCCGCGGTTCTGCTACTTCCGTGGCCCCGCGCTGTCTGCCACCGGCCTAAAGCAGTGCTGGTCTGCTTGCGATGCACATGTCAAGGTTGCTGTGGCTCTGCTATTGTCATGGTCCTGTGCTGTCCGTCACTGGCAAAGGCTGCGCTTGTCTGCTTGCAACGCACATGTCAAGGTTGGCAGCTTCATGAACTGGAGGCAAGCACTGGCGTGCATCACTGCATTGCATGGTTTGCGTGCACTGGTGGGCTATTGCAACATGCTGCCGGTGTATACATCACTGGTCTGTCTCTCTCCTCTCTGTCTCCTCTTTCCTCTTCCCTATCCGGTTCAGGTTGGGTGGGTGTGGTGAGTCGTGTTTCGTGTTTGTTGCTATGGGTGGGTTGCCTGCGCGGGGCACAACTTCCCTTCGGCTCTGGCTGTGTTGCAGCGGTCGGCCCTTTCCTGCGAACAGTCATTCGTTCCGCCCGGTGCTTTTCCAGCCTTACTCTTTCAGGGTATGTTTGCGCGGCCGTTTAGTTGGGGGCAAGGTTTTCGAGGGAGGTCTGTTTTCCGGTGGCCCAGCAGGGAACATCGAATTTCCTGATGAAGGCTGCCTCGAGTCCATTCCACACAGTTCTGGGCTGTTTGTCTCCAGGGTCGGGCAATTTGGTTGAGGAGGCGTTCTGTGTTGAGCATCGCGTTGAACCTTTCGGGGCGCCTGGCTCCTTGGGGGTCGGCCTGTTGTGCTTCCCACCATGCTTGGTCTCTCCAGCGAAGCAAAGCTGTGCTGTCGCCTTCGTGTCTGGCCATATGTCCGTAGAGCCTCCAGATCAGCTTGAGCATCTCCGAGCTGAAGCGGAGTTCTGGCTTCTGGGCCCGGCTCTGGCGAAGCGCAGGGATCGTTGATTCCAATCGACCCAGGATTCTAGCGCACGCCTGGGTATCCCCAGCGCCTGGCGCAACTGCATCAACTGAATACTGTTCGCGCCTTTCAACAAGGCCTCGTGGGGGTGACAGGCCCCCACGGCCCACAAGGCCGCGGGGTTGATGAATCTGCCGTACGCCACCAACTTCTGTCTGGCATCCGCCTGTGCACCGCAAAAGCTTCCTGGAGATCTCACCCAAGCACGCTAGTACTTCTTGTTGCATGGCCACCGGCGCCCCCAGCACCGTGATCGTCCCCATTCGGGTCTCCCTTCACCTCCTGACCGGCCGCCGGCCACGCGCAGGGTTGGTTTTTCGGGGGTGTGTGGCCAAGTTTCTCTTGGCCAACCCGATCACCAGGCGGTCGAGCAGTTGTTGCAGGTACGGTCGGTGGAGCGCCCACAGGTAGACATCATCCTGGAATCCCGATCCGTGACGCGGGAGGGCTGGTCCCTTGTCCTAGCCTTTTCTCATTGCGTGGGTGTTGGGTTCCTGTTCCTCGGTAAGGGTCTCGTTGAGGACGTCCCCAATGACACTCGCAAAAATTACCGGACTATCCGGAGAGCCTTGGCGCACGCCATTAGTTTGCTGGATGGGTCTCGGCAGCCCCTGGGCGTACACATCCAGCTCACGGTTCTCTACCAAGTCAACCCAGAGTCGCGCTTCCCACGCCAATCCTTGGGGGGCGAGTTTGTCTCTGATGGTCGCCGACAGCGCTGGCTGGGACACTGTGTCGGAGGCTTTAGAGACGTCCACCTTAAGGATGTGGAACGGCACATTCCACTCCTTACTCACCCTTATTGCTCGCCTCATCAGTTCAGCCGCCTGCCTTCCTGGTCTGGCAAATTGGTAGCGTGCTTGGCTCATGATCGGTTCCCCTACCCTTCCTAGGATCGATTGGGCTTGCCACTTAGGCATGCTGCTGCTGAGGGTGATGGGTCTCGTCTGTCCCCAGTCTGTGGGCTGCGCTTCCTTGGGGAGAAGGATGGTTGCCGACTTCTTGATGAGGTGGGAGCATCTGCCTTTATAAAGGGCGTCGTTGAATTCCTCTCGGATCCGTGGCTCCCATCTGTCATGCATCCCCATTACTCTCAAGGCCTCGTAGCTGATCCCGTCAGGTCCTGTGCTCTTACCCCCCGCCCACGCTATCGTGCATTTCGCCAGTTCCTCTGACGTGAAGGGCCGCCACCTAGTGGTTTTGCAGAGGGTGGTGAGATGCTCCCAAACTGCGGCTATTTCGGCTCTCACTTGCTCTGGCGCCTGCTTGGCGAATATGCTGCGGAAGTGTTCCCGCATCGTCTCCTCCCAGTCTGGTTGTGTGGTGAGTGCCTCTTCCCACTGGTATCGTCTCCTCGCGGTTTTGATCGCCCGAAGTGCTTGCCAATCCTCCGCGAGTGCTGCCTCAAGGAGCCCCTTCTGCCAAGCTTCCCTTTCCTGTCTCCTTATTTTCCATACCTGCTTCCACTGCTCCCTTGCCTGGGCACTCGGTGTGGTTTGCATTGCTCTCCTGCGCAGCTGCTTGAGGGCCAAGCTTTCCCTGTACCCTCTGTAGTTTTTCCTGTTCTCGACTATGGCACATGCTGCTTGCTTGATCTGATGGCCCCAGTCTGCTGTAACAGGGGGGTTGTTCAAGATTGACTGGGCTATCTTTCCCTCTTTGAGCTGCTTGGGTCCATGCGCTGAGCCTGTCTTGCCCGTGCGCGTGGGTCTTCCCGTAAGGATGGGGACCATGACCGCGTCATGGTCACTGGCTGCTACATTTCTGATCTCCGCGACTCTTCCATCCCCTGCATATCTGAGCTTCCGGACCACAACATAGTTGAGGTCTGCGTGGCTGGCGCAGACGGTTATAGGGGTGGTAAGAGGGGACATGTGTTTGTTGCGGCGGTGCCTCGACATCCATGTCCTCGAACCACTGTGTGATCAGCGCCCCTCTTGCTGCGCGGTGGGTAAGACCCTTTGCATCCGTCTCCTCTCCTCTGCCCTGGTGAAGGTCTCATTCAGGTCCCCCAACACTACCAGCCTGTGCTCCTTTGCTGCTTGCATCGTCCTGCAGTCCTCCAGTTGCTTCCCTGTATCGTTGAGGGTGTATTTGCGGGAGGTGGACATTCAGGATGCCCACGTGACCTTCTGCAGTCGCCACGGTGAGACCTAGACCGTTTCTGCCCACCTTTCTGCGTCGGATCACCCCAACTTGTTTCTTTACTGCGATTGCTCTACCTCTCCATTCGCCATCCTGTTTCCCCGCCGCCACAATCCACTCATCACTTCCTTTTTCTTCCTTCCCATAGTGCACCCCCGGGTCCATGTTCACCTCCTGGAAGGCGACCAGCCCAACCTCACCTAATCCCAGGCCCGGCAGCGTATCCAGGATCTCTGTAAGTTTCTCTCTCTTCATGCCCCCCAGGTTCCACGTCATGAATCCCTGCTTGCTCCCTCTGTCGCACTGCTCGGCTTCTGCCTCTGGTCTGCCTATCACGGTCATCATACTTTGGCTGCGGCTGCCGTTCCGGCTTCCGGGCCCTGCGGCGTTGCCTGCCTGTCGCAGTCCGTCGCGGCCTGTTTCAAGTTGCCGGGGGCTCGGGCTCGGAGTGACACCAGTCTCTGGCGCACACTCAGGGGACATCATCTAGCGGATCGTAACGGGTTTGTCTCGACACCTCAGGTGCACCCACCCGGTCCACAGTTGCAAGGGTTGGGTTCTGTACAGGTTCCTGTTGATCCCCCCGGGCTTGTTCTTCAAGATCCAGCCCCGGGCTGACCGCCAATGCTTCAGTCACTCGCGACCTCTCATGGGTCTCCAGCGGCTTCTGCGGGGCATGTCTTCCCAACAGTTCCTCTTCCTAGTTCTCGGCAAGGTTCCGGTCATCAGCTGCCTCTCTCTCCAGTTTTTGGAGCACTTCCTCGCTGGAGAGGCAACCATGGGCCTCTGTACATCCTCGCCTCAATCATAAATTCTAGCGCATCCATGCATAGGTCATCCCGCGCCTGCCGGTTTCAGCTGATGGGCACGAGCAGCTGCCTCCATCTTTCTTCCACTTCTTCCTTCGCCTCTCCAGTCTTTGCGGCCACTGTTGCCACATCCAACCACCCGTAGGGTGAAGTCGCTGCCTCGATCCCTTTCGGCGGTCTTGTCCGCCCCTTCGAGCACGGCCCTTTTGGTTTTGGACAGTTGTCGGGTGCGTCGGCGCTGCTCGGGGCTCTCGCTCAGCGCCATCCACACCCTCGCGGGCCTGCCCGCACTGTCCACTGTCCCGGTAGGACACGCTGCTTTGCGAACGCTTTCTGCGGTGAAGCTTGGCTCTGTCTTCCCCTACCTTCGGTAGCAGTGGCACAATCAGGAAGCCTTTCTGGCGGCCCGGCATAAAGGCTTCCGCCAGGTCAATGTCCAGGTTCAGGTCCCTCACGAGTTTCTCCGCCTTGCCTTTGACTTCCTCCTCTTCCAGGTCCAGGTTCCATCCTCCCATGACCAAGGCGGGTGTGCGTGGCCCCACGCCCTGCTCTCCCTCGAAGAGTGGCTGCCTCCAGGCTGCCCCTTTCATGTCGCAGTATGTCCTGTATG